CTGATACGTTGGTGTTGACTGTTGAAGAGCGGTCTGATGTATTAGTTCTGATTGTTGAGGATTTGTCTGATACATTGGTGCTAATTGTTGAAGAGCTGTTTGATATATTAACTCTGATTGTTGAGGAGCTGTCTGATGCATTGGTGTTAATTGTTGAAGAGCTGTGTGATATATTAACTCTGATTGTTGAGGAGCTGTCTGATACATTGGTGCTGACTGTGAAGGAGTCTCTTGATATATTGGTTGCAACTGTGGATTCATATTCATGTTATAAACAGGTTGCATTTGTCCATATATACTAGCATATGTAGGTGCCGTGTAGTAATGATTAGATGGCGGCTCATAAGTAAAAGATTGTTGAAAAGTATTATTCATAGTTACTTTATGTACTTTGTATAATAAATACGAGTTATAAGCGTCTCTATATAATGAAATAATCGAGACACATAATGTCATGTGTTTTTTTGTTTATTTTGCATGACATCCATTCAACTGTAACGATGACTATAACCATGTGTTACTCACAAAAACCTTATCCCCATTGAAATTTATCTTAAGAGAAATTTGAAACAGCTATCTTAGTTATCGTGTTATATAGAATATAGTTTCAAATATATTTGGTTTGTGCAAAAAGAAATATTCCGACGCCGGGAATCGAACCCGGGCCTCCTGCGTGAAAGGCAGAAATCCTAACCACTAGACCACGTCGGACTGATATTAATTAGTTGACGTAGTAATTATCTTTTTTAGCTATCCTTTAATAAGTAGCACAAATTTAGCTATGGTTAGTTTCAGAAATAAGATTCAGATATTAGAAATCAAACTTGGATATTTTGTACATAAAGTAGAATAATACATCATGCCTTATCAATAGTATTGCGGCTAAGCACTCATAATAATAAGAAGCGTTCTTGATTTTTAAACCATACGACATGCTTCGATTGTCAAAAATGGTTACAGTGGTATTACAAAGCATAGTTCATGCGAGATTTGAAATGAAATGTATCATTTATCACCTTAAATCGTTGTCTGGTAACCAGTGTGTTGTAATTTCTTATAAGATATCAATAGGTCAGAATATTCAGCTAATGAGGATAATTTTGATATATTTTGTTAATCCTTGGATATATATCTATGGCATGGTATCTTCATCAGTTCATGTTTGGGAAGACTGCCAGTCAATTTAAAACGGCTTAAGAAAAAATGAAAAGATTTTTATCGTGAGATATGCACAAATGTCTGTAATGTAAAAAGGAGAAACATAATGTTCTCTACTGCTAATGAGTTTTTTTGCTTTAATTTTTTTTCACAAGAATCACAACACAGAAAATCTAAAACTCGAAGAATGTATCACCATTAATACAGTAAAGTTTAATTCAACAACAATTTTACGATGAAAATAAGATTGACATGCAAATATCAAAGCTAGCCAATATAAAACCGAAAAGAAAGAAAAGGAAGAAGAGTCGGTAATCTCTATTTCTCATTTATTGTTTATGACAATAGACATATTGACAATTGTAAAACATGTACCTTAAAAAATACTGACTAAATTTTCTATATATATATTCATTTAACAAAAAAAGTACTATTAACGATTTCTTAGAAACAGCTCATTTTTCGTGTTTTTGTGAACTATGTCATGATCTGATCGGATGCTATTATCAATGAATCAAATATAGGTATTCAAGAAAGTAATAACGTAAATTCGATATATTATTCATTCATGTAAAACATTTACTGCTTCAACGAAATGTCTTGATTTCACTACGAATATTTCTAATGGAAAATTTATCTTTTACTACTTTGACATCATTTGTCCAAGAAGTTTGTTTACGGGTTTAAGATAAAAGTGAAATTGATTCGCTTTATATGCTATACAACAAGAAGATAAAGCATAGATCATACCCAAATAAATATCAAAAGGTAAAGAAATTTTTTTGCTCATAATTGAACTAATTCATAATGCATTTAAACGAGATGTTCATCAATCGAACAGTGATTTAATATCAATCAGTGTCTTTTTCATAACAGTTTCTGACGATTTCAAAAAAGCTTGATCAATCATTTATGTATTTACAACTACTTACAGAAATTCCACACTATTTACATTATGATGACAATTTCTAAAAAGAAATTATTCATTCCTATCGACAAAAATTTTATTAACAATCATAGACGAAATTGAATAAAAGTATGATTAATCATCATTTATTTGATCATTTACACGAAACTGTGAAATGTTTCATGTAAGATAAACTTTCAAAAACACCAGACGATGAAATAATAATCGAAATGCTTGTTTTGTTTTTGTTCAACATTTTTACCAATAAATTGAATCGTTATATTTTAAATCAAAGAATACTCATCTATTTGTTGTTTGTAGAAGACTAGGACTTTTAAATAGGAAACTCGAAAAAAATGAAGAACAATAAATGATATTAACTTTCATTCAATGTCTTCTTATCATGCAGCACTTAAAGTGCTAAACATATGCGAAAAGCAACTCAAAAATCAACATGATGACATCGATTGGCTACATTTTAAGGATCCACCGTTGAAAAAAATCATTTTTCGTCAGAACGGTCGAAATTAAAATAATTGCATAGGAAGATAGCCCACCATTTGATCTTTCATAAAAGACAAAAGTTTTTACTCAACACCTCGTTTTTTTCCAAAAGTTTTTGAAGGTTTCTCTCGACCCTTATTCGAAAAATAAACTGTTTTCAGAAAAACCAAAAAACCTTTTTCTTTTTTCTCAGCTTATAGTTTCTTGAGCGCGCAAACCTAAATTCTCTGTCGATATTCATTCGATGTATTTAATTTTTTTTATTCGAAAAAGCGTGTCAAAAGGCAGTGCAGTAGAGAGCGCTTTTTTTTTATTATATATACAGACATTTATATAACTCGAGACTCATTTTTTTAAGAGTTTTTCGAGGCATTGAATTTTCAATCCCTGTCTTTTCCCTTAAACAGTAACTATTTAAAAAAAGACCTCTGTACTGCACTTAGTGCCCTAACTAGAAATAGTCGGGTGGTTAAGCATCGCCCTAAAAACTTAAAGATGTTATCTAAGAGTGATGCATTATATGTCTTTCTTTTATACAGCCAAAGTGCATTAAAGAATCTATCTATAAAAGCAGATTTTTTAAATTTTGCTTTCCTTATTCAGTAGGGAATAGATCCAAAGGTTGCAAAATTTTATTTGCATAAAACTCGATTATTTCTATGTAAATCAGTGAAACTATTGATGAATTCTTCGCAATACACGTTGAAATGGTGCTCCACTTCTAATATACACAAACTGCTCAAACAAATATCCAATATTGTGTGATACTTGTAGTTGTTTCTATTAGTTTCATCTTGTTAAATATTTGTTCACAGGCAGCGAACGAAACTGTTAGAGTTATAGCATCGATGACATATGATATTATTGTTTGAAATGTCGATTGTCGAAGTTAATAATTCAAACTTAGAGATCATTTTGATACTTCTGGATTTTGAATTATCAGCAACGATTCAAGAATCAGAGATAGACAACTATAACCTCAAGTTTAGGTAAACTTCAAAGTTTACACATTTTCTTATCAGAGTTGAAGTGATGTATAAAAAAATGAAGAGTTGGACTTAAAATAAGGATTCGAAAAAGAATAAAATTACATGAAATTGGAGTGGCATATGATCGAAGTTGTTTATCTCTATTAAGAAGTTAAATTTGATTAAATAACAAACATAGCACAGCTATTATATATATCGCAAGTTTTTTTTTTGACTCTTTCAGTTTTCCACAATACTCCGTATCTGAACAAAATACTGATATTCTATTTAAAATTCTTTTTTCTCTAATCATCTGTCATAATCAATCAATCACTCAAGTATCGTAAGAATTTTACGATATCTTTATCGATCTAAAGAAACTGTTGAAGATACTCAATGATGTTAACTTTTTTTGTCATACATTTTTATTTTAATTATTCATAAAGACGAATATATCAAAATTGTCTCAATCAATTACAAGAAATAACTTTATTTTTCTAAGATGCATTATTCACAAAGTAAAAATTAAAATTCGTTTAGTCTTTTTTGATTTAATATTCCAGAGCGTCAACAGCATAATCCAAATGAACAAAAGCTCTTTCAACTTCAGGTATATTTTCTAATTTATCTTTTAATTCATCTCCGATATCATGTGCTTCTTTAAGTGACATTGTTTCAGGCAAAATAACTTCAACTTCAACTAAAAATGATGTACCAAAATGAAATGCACGAACAGTATCAATTTTTTGTATTAAGGATGAATGTTGTAATGTAAGCCATGTAATTTTTTGTAAAAATTCAGGTTTAGCTTTATAACCGCTTAAGTTTCGTACTTGTTGACGAAGTTGTCCTAACCAACAAAATATTATATAAAGGGATATAAGAATAGCACCAATTGGATCAATCACAACGATTTCTTTGACTTTAATTGAACCATCAGAAGCTTTGGAAGCTGAAATATTTTTTAAATTAAAAATAAATATTTGTAAATATAAGACTCTCTTACCAATAATACCACATGCAAGTGCAACTATATTTGAAAAAACATCATTTCGATGATCTTGTGCAACAGCATACATGGTTGGATTTGATATTTGATAGCAAAGAAATGATAGAATCGCTTTACAAACTAAAACACAATTATACAATTGTTAATAGATAAGAAGGATTTATGCATACCAATCGTAACACACATAACAGATATTGGTGCTGGTCCCATATCAATGTGACGTAAATCTGTTGAATTTTTTGTGAAATGATCTGCATAATTTATTAATGATTGAATTGATTCATAAATAACTTGAACCGATGCTGAAACCATAATAACTGATAAAATTACAATGATAACTGGTTCGAGACGAGTACGACCTATGATATGTTAATATTATTTTGTTTATATCAAACATGTCGAGATATTTACCTCCTGGATAAGTATAAGGATCATGACGTTTTATTACACGAATAACCCAATAAAGTAAACATGCTGAAGCTGAATCAACAGCAGCATCAATAACTGATGAAATGATTGAAAGTGAACGAGAATAGACAGCAGCTACTATTTTAGCAATTAATAATGTCTATAAATAAGAATTAAAATATGTATTTAATCTTTAGTTTTCTTACTTACCACATTGCACACTAATGTTGCTTTAATCAGCCATTCAGTATATCGTTTTTGTTTATTTAAATGTTTATTTTCTCTTCCAGACCCTAATGATGTTTGCTCATCAAGTATTTTAAATGAATCAATAAGTGCATCTTGTTTTTTATAAAAATGTCGAACGCAACTACTCAATTTTTCGTCTTCATCCTGCTTTCCTAAACAAAAAAGCAATTTGTGTTATGTTGTTTTAATTTGACATGCATTTACCATGCCGTTTACTCATAAGAGATTTCAACGAATATGGTTTATGATCTAAAAGGAAGAAAAAGGAGACAGACATGCATCGAAGATCGAGAGAAAAGAAACATTCATACTTGCATCACTATGTCGAAATTGAGCATTAATCGAAAGTTGTTGTTCATAGGCAGCATAAAAATTACTTGAATCACTATAACTTCGTCTAATAAAAGCTGCTGGTCGAACACTTGATTCAGATTGTTCCTGAATTGCAATTGATCGACGCGAAAGTGGATCGGAAGCTGGAACTGATGGAACTACTAAAGTAGTAATTGGTTGTTGCTTTCGCTGTGCTCGTCCATGTTTTCGACTACCGCGAATTCCTCCAGAACTGAAATAAGCATTGCTCTCATTAAATGATTTCACACTTAAATATTGATGACCAAGACATGCTGCTTTCATTTAGTTATCATTCTGAAATATAGATAGGCTTTAAATAGGGCACTATCTATATTGATGTCCGTTGCACGAAACAACATTTGTCATGAGTGACTAAGAAAAAATAAATAACGATAATGATCAAGTTTTTCTTGTTTGATAAATAACCAACCAAAAGAACCAGAAATGATACATTATGATTCAACGCTTGACTGAATCAAATACTACAACGAAATTTAAGCTATTATATGTGCACATGACGATATTAATGTAAGATAAGGCATCATTGCAAGTATATTCATGCGTCAATTTCGTTTTGTTTTTGTCTCTCATTAAAGAAACGTTCTAACTTCATGAGTCAGAATTTACTACTACAAACCTCAAGTCATGGAGTATAATCCTATTTAACAAGCAAAAGATAATGTGATATAAAAAAAAAACAATGAACACTTATAAATACAGTCCTGCACAAAAGAAACCCTTCCGTATGAAGTGCTACTATTCTTTATGATATTGAGTCGATATTTTTGGTGCATGCGTGCAACAATAGTACCCTGAACACTAATACTAATCTATCCTCCATCAGTTCACATGTGTTGGAATTATGATTCGCACAATCGTTTTTCCTTCTGAAAAACTTAGTCAACGAACGTATGCACTTGAAAAGTTTTTATTTGTCGTTTAGTTATATCATAAACTACGATTGATTTTTTTTCTAGCATTAAAGACAGTTCCATATGTCTGCTTTATTATCATCAAAGTCCGTGATTCATGAACAAGATCTTAGTAATTAGTATGTTTTGAGATAGCAAACCCATATCATAGCACTAATTCAACTTCATTCCATGTTGCGTTTCAAAAGCTTTCAGAATAAAGTTGTCGTGGAATGCGAAATTCCTACTTATACTTTTATTAGAATACGACTAAATAGGTTTATTATGTGCTACGCTTTTTTTTTCTTCAATTCATCCTTCACGGTATACTATCTTAGATTATTGAAATTCAATGCAATTAGTTTACAGTAGTTAAAGTAATACTATTATCTTTTGGACTCTTATCTAAATTGATTGGAGGCAGTTGAAAAAGCAATTTTTTCGTCTGGACCACTAACATAACTACAGCAATCTTTTTTGGGTATTAGTAAAATACGTTCTGACCCATTCTGAACAAATTTCAACTAAAAAAACAGTTATTTAGAAAAAACCTATTAAAGACATTCCGCGATACGTCCTAAAGCTCGCACTTTGGTTTCCGATTTTCCTTGTAGCCAATTATAAACAAAGTATGGATTGGGACTTTGGTATCACTCTTCTATTTATTCAAGTTCACATTCACACTCCAAAAAGTCAATATATTGAAGACATAGTTTTATTAAAACATCAGGTTTATTTCAAATGGCAAGCAGGAAGTGACAGAAATAAAATTAAAGAAAACTATAAAACAGTATTTGATTGTCTTTTTTCAAGTATCATCTCCTCAGTTAGGAAACACAAAAACAAAAACAAGTAGTAAATCGTCTGTTCGCTGAAATTATATATATATTTAGAAATGAGTTTATATTAATTTTTATTTTGTAAAATTTGACTGGTGATTTCTCGAATGATTTCCATCACTTTATTTCGATGTTCACTTCTAGGTAATTGTTGTTTTTGTCCATTACTATCAATATTAACAAGCCATTTCGAATGAATAAGAATATTGAATTTAAGATAATCATCTTCTTTATTATCTTTACAACAATAACCAAGTCCACTTGAGAATATATACATTCCATAATCTTGTGTTAAACGTTGACATACTTTTGTATACAAATGAAATAATTCAATATTATTCATTTTTCCATTTAATCCAAAATCAGTCATTGATAATGTAATTTTTGTTTCATAATTTGGTATACCAAAAATAATTAATGATTCAGGTGATGATCGTCCACCACGTCTAATATTCCAATCACGTTGTTTATGACGACCATTTTTTGTTACAAATAAGTCACCTGCATATATTCCATTTTTATAACCAAATTCAGATGCTTCAACAGCAACCATAAGTGAATATGTTTGAAACATACGTTGCCAATATGTGGGAGAATCATTCATATCAGTAGGCGAATATGAAGTCCACTACAAAAGTAATAAATATTTCTTTTAAGAATATTAAAATAAAATACTGTATCTTGTTAAATCTCATTCAATTATATCGAATTCTTTTAAAACAGAATTATCTCTCACTTCATTTTATTTATGTGCCTTCACAGTGTGCTATAGTCATGTATATTTCTATTTATAGTACAAAGCACCTAATTGTCTTTGCTACTAGATCAATTGTAGAAAATAGCAGGTTAATAGTCTGCTTGATAGATTAGTAGAAAGTTAGTATTTGTTATTGATTGGATAGAGTCTATTCATTCAACATAGATATGTTGATTTGATAAAATAATGATTTTTTTCTACCATTGTGTCAATTTGTGATTACATTTTTCGAAATTCTTCTCATTAATACTCATAAAAATTTTTATTTCGATAAATAGTTCAAACATTCCATAGTAAGGTCAAAAAATCGACAACATTTATGAAGAAATATCAATTAGTTAAAAGTGAATCAAAAGAGAGAATCACTTGATAGTTCTACTGAGAACTGCATTTCTTACATTTGCATTTATTGCATACAAATAATAATTATCTCAAAAGGCTACATTACTTCTAATAGTATAAAAACGGGCTGCTCAGCACTATGGTGTCCTACGAGACACGACGTCATTTGCTGAGTACTACGTTTTATTGTAAATGCATGTCGTTAACCCCTACGGAAAATACAAACTTTCTGTAGAATTTCAAGATTTTACAAAAATTAATGAAAGAAATTTGAGTCCGGGTCGAACATCATGTAACACTTTTATCCATTGTCTGAAACAAGGTGGCGGCGCCTTTTCGAAGATCAGTTTCGTCCTTCCGATGTTTGTGGTTATTGTAGCACTTCCAATGCGTCGGTACTATCCAAAAATAAGTGTTACTCTCTCTCAGAGTTCTGAGTCGATGACTTTCTGACAAATATGTAAACAATATATATGTATAGCCCACTTTTGGCATTACTTGAGAGTAAGCAAGTTACCTTTATAGTTGAAATATGTAGTTATTCTTTCTTGAATTTGAAAGAAGCACACGCGATTTCACAAAAATGAAAATTAATTTATAATATAATTCTACGAATAAAATATGATTTCTTCAATTAGCTGCTTTGCTTTATACACACATATAGTCAGTTCAGTCTATTAATACATATAGAGTGTAATATTCAACATGAAATAACTATAAAATAAATAATTTAATATTAATATATACTTATGTTTACAGTATGAATTGTTTTCAAAATCTCTCAATATTTCTATAGTAGTATATTTTCCTCGATACACAGACTTCGGCACCGTTTGAAGAACTGTCATGGTGAATTCTAAAATCGATTCGTATCTGCAGAAACTTGATGTATTGCATACATCTCAGTAAATGTCGCAATGAAAAATCAATTGATCTCAAGGTCGTTTACACTTTTTCAGTTTAGTTTTTATACGACTCATAAGCATTATAATAATACTAAACAGATGTATTACAAGAAAGCCTGTCATTTCTCATTGTGTTTAATGAGATCCCAAACCATTGAATATACTTCTGTCGCATCATATGTCACTAGCAGTATATGTTTGATTTGTTCATCGTTTATATTGATAAGGTTTCATCGAATAATACAGTTCAGTTCCTTTGATTTATAATATATGCATGTCTACACTCGGAATCCAAACAGAATGAATAAAAAATAAAGTAAACTTCAATTTTCACAGACTCCGACAAAGAAAATGAGACATGAAGAAACAGATAGTATAAAAGGATGTATAGGTCTCTAAAATGAATCATAGTTCATCCAATACGCAGCTATTATTGATCTTTGATGTCTATAGTTTTTTCGTATTCAAAAAGATTATTAAATAATTTATAACGATTCTACATTTTATAACCTTAAGATATTCCAGTGTTTTATTTAGCGTGTGGGCTGATGTGGCAGCATTCTTCCAAAAAATGGATTTGCCCTCACGGAGTTAATCGTTCTCGTATAACTTACTATATGTCAATGCTCCCAAAAAAATGTGCGCCTACCACCCTGGTAGAATTATAAATCACTCGTCGGGAAAATAAAATCTAAATAAAAAATATTTAGTTCCTAATACCTGTTCAATATAACATCCATTTTCTGTTCCACATAAATTAATTGATGTTGGAAAAAGTTTTCCATCGAGAACAAATCCACAAACTGTATAATCAGCATAAATATCACCTGATCGCTTTTGTGGTTCAACAAATTCTTCAATAACAGCTAATGTTGGTAAGCGCTCACCAACTATTTTATTTTTCATATATTCACGTAAATATTTAATTCTCTTTTCTGGTTCTTCATCACAATCATATATAATAGGATGTTCACTTGGACACATACATGACCAACCAGCTGCACCATTTGCATCTAGTTTAATAAATCCTGATAAATTATATTTATGACATAATCGATCAATAGCTTGAATAATGGTTCGAGCAAAAATCTATGAAAATCAAGAAAAAAAAATATAATTTGCCTTGTTTTTGTCATATGAAGAATGGCATAAATAATTATTTACTTCAATATTTTCTGATGTATTTTCTGTACAAGTTGAATCAAGATGTTCCAATGTTTTAATATATTGTTGATAATGATCGATTATTGTTCCATCTGGTGATACAGCTAATAATTTTGGTAAAGCAGTAAATGCTTGTGATCGTAAGAAGAAATTATGCTTTGCTTTATCATTTGTTGGTATATCAGGTAGTTTTAATCGATCACTATAAGATTGAAGTTCTTGATAATGAAATTCAGTCATTTCATATGGAAAAACAAATGATCGATGAACATCTTCAGTAATTTTATCTATATGTCGTTTAAGCATTTGAATATAATATTCAGGATAGAAGTCATTTGGTGAACGTTGTGCAAATGTTTCACAA